CGGCCTACCTGAGGGAGAAGCACACCCTGGACGTCGTCATGGCCGCTGAGCTCCAGCGCGCCAAGAAGGACCTGGCCGCGCGCGCCAGGGCCGCCAGGAAGAACCTGTCGGAGGCGGGCCGCAGGATCTCCGAGCTCCCGTTCGCCGCCGACGGCCTGGCGGCCTGGTTCCGCAGCGAGGACGCCGCCGCCGCCTGGCCCAGCGCGGTTGGCACGCACGTGGGCCGCACCATCATGGGCGAGGTCACGGCGAGGCGCATGAACGGGCCGCAGCGGCGCCACATGCGGGCGCTGAGCGGCAGCCGCATGGCCTCCTTCCGCTTCGGCCAGGTGCTGGCGGAGCGCTTCACCCTGTGCTCGGCCACCCGGTACTCGGGGAGCCACCGGCAGCGCATACTCGTGGGCGAGCAGCACGACCTCGTCCACGGGCACTGGCGGAACTACGCGGGCGTGGCCTTCTACAGGGGCTGGGCCACGGACCCGAGGCCCGCGGAGCGCGAGGGCTACGACAAGTGGATGGTGATGTGTGGTACCAACGCGGCGCTCCGCCAGTACGTCAATGGAGTCAACCACGCGGTCAACGCCACGTTCAGAGGAGGCAATCAGTCCTTGGCGATCAACTCTGGGATCATGCAGGGCGACGAGAGGTCGGACTGGGAGGCCGCGGAAATCATCGCTTGGGACCGCGCGCTCAGTGACGAGGAGATGCTGCAGGCCTCCAAGTATCTCTTGGGCAAGCTGCAGAGTGGAGCTAGCCAAAACGAGACAGTGCTCAGACGGCAGCTAGCGGAGTTCCGGGAAGTCGACGAGAACGTCGCCAAAATCATGGACGTTATTGCGGCTTCGGAGCTTGAGGTGGAGAGCAAGATTGATGACAAGAGGAGACAGGTCTTGCGGATGAGGAAGGCCTGGCTGCACCTGAAGAGGGCGCAAGTCTTGTGCAGCCCCTGGGACCTGAGCCTGTGCAGCCCAGACGAGGGCACCACCTTGCAGGATGCCCTGAGCGCGCGGATGGAGGATTTGGTGAGCAACATCGCTGCGAAATTCGGGTCTGTCCGCGAGCTGCGCGCGCATGTCGAGTGGCAGCGCCAGAACGCCCTCGTCAACGCGGATTCGATGGCCAGGACGAAGGCGCTGCTGGACGAGCCGTTTGAGAAGTATTCGGTGGGCAGGCACTGCCCTCACAAGGGCATGAAGAAGAAGTTCTACCTGTACACGGGGATACCGAAGATCCCGTGCCAGAGCCTGTGCCTGGAGACCCCGGCCTGCGTGTTCGCCACGTGGTTCAGTAGTGGTTTCTGCCAGCTCAGCAAGACGTGCTCCCCGGACGCGAGAGCGTCTGACCCCTCCGCCGTCACGATCAAGATCCCATCCAGGCTCTCGCAGAACAAGAGCAAGCAGAAGGTGCAGGCGCAGATGTCGAACTACAAGAGGCTGGAGGAGAACCTCGGCAAGCACAGGGAGGTCCAGATGCGGCTCGAGTCTGACATTGCCCAGGCGGTGCACCGACTGGAGACGCAGCAGGACAGCCTGGAGCTGCTCAACCTGGCCCGGTGGCGGCGGCTGGCTACCGAGCCGAAGCAGGCATCGGCCAGGACTCTCCCGCAGTCGAAGCAGCCGCCAGCCAAGTCGAGCCCGCAGCCGCCAGCCAAGGCGCATCCGCAGCCGAAGAAGCCGTTGGCCAAGGCGCATCCGCAGCCGAAGCAACAGCCGGCCAAGACGCCCCCGCAGCCGAAGAAGCCGCCGGCCAAGGCGAGCCCGCAGCCGAAGCAGCTTCTCAAGGCGAGCCAGCAGTCGCCGGCCAAGACGAGCCCGCGGCCGCCTGAGGTGAGTGTGGGCGGTCGCCCGAAGGAGCTCTGACGCTCCTGCCCGGGCATCCGAAAGTTCTAGGCCTCCTAGATGGGGTCCAAGTAGATGGGGTCGAAGGATCGCTTCGCATCGCCGATGCATCGGCGATGCGGCTCGGTGTGGAGCCCGAGTTTCCGCACGCCGACGTCGCCGATGCATCGCCGACGTCGCCGAAGCATCGCCGATGCGGCGCGATCCTCCGACCCCATCTACTCGGACCGCATCGAGGAGGCCTCTAGTAAAGGGTGTGTGTGTGTGTGTGTGTGTGTGTGTGTGTTGGTCTCTGTGTTCTGTCTACGCCGCGCCGCTTCGCGCGTGGCCACGACGACAAGAGTGTGTGTGTGTGTGTTTGTGTGTGTGTGTGCGTCTTTCCCCAGCTTCTGGCCATATCGTTTTCCTGCCCGGTCGGTTTCGCTCGTTCGCCCCCCCTCGCCTGACCCCCCTGTCATCCACGCCCGGATATGGCCGGCTGCCAGCGCTGCTTGTTCCAAGCGGCTTGAGGGCTCGGCCTCTAGACGCGCGTGTGCGGCCGCTTCTTTGATTCTTCTATGCCCTATCGTTGCGCGCGGGGCCGCGACGCCATGTGTGTGTGTGTGTCCCCGGGCATGCCTCCTCGGCGCCCTCGGCACCTTCGCTGCCCACGCCGCGGTCTGCGCATGTCATGGTCGATCCGATGGGATCTCTGCCCCCTCCGCAGCCGGCCGCGCGCAGAAAGGGGGGGCAGGAGGAGAGGGGGAAGGCTGCTTAGAAGCGCGCCCCCTGCTTCTTGGAAGGCGCGGGCCCTGTCTGTAGATGCAAGGCCAGCGAATTCTGGGATGCAGCCTCCTCCTAGGAATCCTTCCCCCCTCCCCCCTGCCCCCTTGTGCGCGCCCCCTCTTCTGGGGGGGCTGGCCGCGCGCGCGCTCTCTCCGCTTTGTGGGGACCTTCTCCGCTCGACGCTGCGCGCGAGGCCGCGACCGCCAAGAAGCTGATGTCACCATGTGCGCCTGCGCGCGCCCTCCTCCTCCTCCTCCTCCTCCTCCTCCTCCTCCTCCTCCTCCTCCGCCAAAGTGTGTGTGAGAGAGAGAGAGAGAGTTAGTTGAAGCCTGCGCAGAACTTCCACATTGTTTCGGCAAGCCCGTGGGTAACCCCTGGTTTCCTACCCGTACTGGCCTGCGCTCTCAGGCTCCACCCCCACAACTGCAGCGCCGCGAACAAGCCTCACGACGCCCGGCACTACGATCGTAAGGTCCTCTCCAAGCTCGCCTACAACATTCACCCCGTGTTGGGCTGTGACGCGGGCGACGCCTGCGTCTCCGTTCATTGGTAGGCCCTTCTCCGCTTCCTCGGCCTGGCCTCAAGCCCTGAGCACACCATTCCAGGCTCCCTCGTCAAGGTCCTCACTGCGCACGCAGGGTCGCGACGGGCGATCCGAGGCGGTGGAAAACCACCATCGGGAACGACCGCACGATTCCTAGCTTCCTCACCTAGGCACCTAGGCGACGTGCCGATGACCCTTGCACCAGTCTGAACCGCCTGCAAACCTGGTCCATCTGCTGTGGGAGCCGCCCGGGGACCGTGGCACGCACCGGCTCGCCTCTTGCTGGCCATCGCTGCGATGCGGGAGATGGACGATTTCGGGATCTCAGTAATGTCGGTGATTACCCTGAGGCCCTGCTGGGCCTTGCTGCTCCCTGTCGCTCCAAATGGACGGGGGATTCGGAGTACCGTATTGGCGGAGTTCAACATCCCACGAATTCGGGTGGGACGCCGACGAGCTTGGCAAACACACCAACTTCGGCTGGGAAAGCAAAATAATGATATTCGACATTCAGCGTGCCATTCTCTGGAGGACAGCGAATCGTCTGTACTTGAGAACCCGACCTCCAGGAGCCAGCACTCGACCATGTACACTTTCACGCGATGTGGTATTAAGAGGGCTCTGGTGAGGATACGACCTACGGTCTGCAATAGAGTGACGTTGAGATTCAGTACGATGACCATCTATTCAACGCTGTGGGAAGGCAATCCTATCTTGCAGAAGTTCAAGGAGAAGAGGGCTGCGGCTAGAGTCAAGCAGTTGGCTTTTGGTCGCAAGCCACGTGCTGTACCTGCACTTGTACGCCGTCGGCTTGCCCAGGTGCGCCGTCGTCCAGCAGCACGTGCACAGCATCCCGCACATGAAGACCCTGAGCTTCCACAGGTGGCGGAGGCTGTGGAGTGGCTATCTGGGGGATCAAAGTATGTGCGAACATGGCTGGCGGAGCCCAGCACATCATTCAAAGCAATCCATATAAGATCAATGTCTTGACGATCGTGATTCAGTGTCTGTAAAACTTCTCACGACATGTACTGATTTTGCGTCTCGTAATCCCAGTGGCCCTAGTCACGTGTATTAGTAAATCGTACGCTGCGTGTCTCCTTCACCCATTGCACACTGATGCAGCTTCTGTCGAATGTTTCACGACATGTACTGATGCAATTTCTTCTTTCTAGTGTTTCACAGTGTTTTGATGCAGTTTCTGCCGATTTTTTCACTGCGCAAGTTTTTGGTGGACAGTTTCGCGACTGGAGGTGACCGCCTCTGTGGCGGTGGTGATGAAGCTACCGACGGGGAGGACAATCAAGAGGACCCGTTGATCGCCACACGTGCCAAAGTGCTCACGATCAATGTTACGAGTCTCAACACAGCAAGGCTACATGAGGTCTTGAATTGCGCCGTGCACGACGAGGAGGTGGACATCATCGCCTTGCAGGAAATCCGTCAGAAGGTGGAGAAGCCGAGGTGGGTCATCACCGAGACTAAGCGAGCAGGATGGGCGGTTGCCTGCTCAACTCCACCGCCGCCAGGCGCCGCGTGCGAGGTACGAGAGGGAGGTACTGCTATTCTATGGCGGCCCCGACTTAGACGTACCTCAGTTACTCGAGCAGCAAAGTGGGACATAGGCTGGTCGGAATCAGGACCGCCGAGGCGATGTATTTTTCCATCCATGCCCCCCCCAACAGTACGGAACTACGTGGACAGCGACTCTATTTCACTATATCCAGAATCTTGGTATCGACGGTCACCCAGTAATCTGCATGGTGGGGCCTGGCTTCACGTGGTGCAGCGAACGATCCCAACGACATCATATGGCACGGCATCGACGCGATGCGGTCGGTATCTCGGACCATTGACAAGTTCAGCTCCGCAGTGTGAGGGAATGCAGCCAGTACCTGGTACTCCACACCACGCATTGCTGATCAATTCTATTGATGTGCCTGCGTACCCAAGAACAGCGGAGCGGTTACGCCATACTGCCAAGTATGCGATGGAGCGCGTGCCTGGTGATGAAGAGAGGGAAGCCCTTCAGGCTGAACTCGACTTCCTGCCATGTGTGACTTGGCTCTTTCTTCGACGGCCTCGGTGTCGCGGTGGGTGCCGTGGCATTCTCGGGCCGGGCTTGCCCATTCTATCGGGGTGGGGAGGGATTGCGTGGCAGTTGAGCGTCAAGCAGGACGGGTCAAATGGTCGCCTCCTAGCGTGAGGCCGGTTGGCTCAGGTTCGATTCATCGCATCGGTCAACCGCCGTGAGGAGACTACTTCGGCTCCGCAGGCGTTTCACGCATCATGCTCGGTTCGAGAGCGCTCGCGCGCCGTTGGACACGTTGGAAACGCGTAATTTGAATCAGTATGCACAGACCGCACTGGGCGGATTAGCCAAACCGAAAATATGATGGACTTCTTACTTATGTTGATGCGCTGGATTGTGTATCGATCACGATCTGCTATGTGAAGATCCAGAACAAAAGACGAAGGAGTGGAAGGAACGGTTCGCCACGTGGAGCACTGACCAGTACAAATTGACGACGCCGCTCTTCCGCGCCGCACCGCCAGCGGCAATTTCTGGTCCTAGAGACATGCGCGAGACGTTGAAGACCCAGTGGAGTCCATCAGAACATCGTGAGACAACTGGAGAGCATGTATGGTAATTGAGATAACATGCTGCTCAAGCTCAATTTCCCGAAGTCTTCCTATGGCCAGGCGTGGGTTCCTACCGTGGAGGCTTTTGATCAATTGCTCGCAAAGGCCAGTACCTCGGCGGGGTTTGATGGGTGGGAGGGAAACGGGATCAAAGATAGCAGGAAGTTGTTTCCATACTTGGTCTAGGAGTTGTATGAAGTTAGGGTGTCAGCGTCTCTCTACTGTGTGCAGGGGAAGGGCAAGGTGCCACGTGGTGTTATTGATCAGACTTTCCCTTGGAGTGTAATTGGCACCCCGAGGGGGGATCTGATGTGCGCCCATTGTCGATTGGACCCATTATGGTCAGATGTTGGATCAGCGCGCTGGCGTCGGCCATGCCGCAACCTTGCGACAATCAGTGGGCAGGAAAACGAGGGGTGAGCGTAGGGCGCGCTATGTCAAAGTGTCTGGTGGAAGTATCGCAATCCGACGCAGGTGACGAACTGCGTCTTTCACGAGCGTGTGATTATTTTGATCATGTGATCGGTGAAGCAATCCTCCTGTCTTGTGGGGCGCCCGACGCGGTGGCGCGCGCGGCGGTGGCGGCCTGGGCAGGACCTCGTGCGTGGAGTGTTGGTGGGCAGTGCGCGTCGCCAATCCACCTGGCCAGGGGCCCCCGCAAGGGGGGGCTCTGTGGCGTCGGCGGGCATGATAGCCACTCTCGCGCCGTGGGCAGTCCTGCCGGGGCGACCGCTCGTCGACGAATGCGCGCGCCGATCTTGTGCAGGACGACCGCAATATGGCGGAGACGTTCGACAGAGAGTGCAGGTTCGTGGAAAATATCGCAGTGCGTCAGGTGTGGGCGGTGGAGGCGCTCGGGCGATTCCTGGTGGCTCAGATATTCGAGAGGGACTTGCTGTGACGTACGTGCGACCATTATGGTGCTGGGCCTCGCTACTCTTGGCGCCGCCCCCCGAGGGCCCCCCCCGATGAATGCGCGAGGCAACTGTGCGGTCTGCGGGCAAGTGGTGGTGCCGAGGGCGCTGGCGGGCACGAAGAGTGCAGTTGCGCCCCCGCCTGGGGGCGGCTT